AGGGGCAGAGTCTCAGACATGAGGGTGCACCAGGGCGGCCGGACGAGGATGTCTGTGTAATGGACTGTTGTTCAGACATTTAAAATACTGGCTTAGGAGGTGTTTAGTGACATGGGGAAATGATTATGTTAGAAGATGCCGTGGGGGGGAAATCAAGGCAGTGACTACTTCACCAAAAGAATGGAAACGAGAAACATGGAGAGAAATATGCCCAGAAACTGCCCCTGAGTGTGTGTGCGGGAAGGACAGGATTTAGAGAGACTAGAGGTGGCGCTGTGCCCCCCACGCTGTTTGAATGACGTTCTTGTGGGCTGGAGGTGGGAATCAGAGCCCCTCTTGGCGTTTGTGACTGTCAGCTGGCTCCCCAGGGGTCTGAACGAGCAGCCACCCACGCGGGCTGCCACCGTGTCCCGAGCCCAGCACACGCACGGATTCCGGGAACGTCACTGTCATACGCCTGGTGGTGGCGAGCTGGGTGTGAATCCGCCCACAAGCTCAAGTGCGAGAGCTGTAACTGTCTTTCGATGACTCAACTCCGCTGAATTTGTCGCCCCCGCGCCCGGGGCTGCAGTGAGCACTTGGGGCCACGTGGATTCCTTCTCTTCCCAGATCCCACTGAGGTTCCAGAAGGCTTGGGTGGGGCCGGGTGTGAGGAGAGGGGCATCGCACCTTCTGACCACCGTGGGCTTTTTGCAAAAATTTATGCTTTTTTGCATAAATGCTCACAGATGAAGTTGGCCTTTAATTTTCTTTGCCTGTACACTTCGCCCAGTTTTGTTAAGATTATCGTTGTCTTGTAAAATGAGCTTTCTCTCTCTCTCTTTTCCTGGAACAGTTAGTATAATGTGTCCACTCCTTGAAGTCTCAGTAAAACTCACTTGCTTAATCTTTTTCAATTATTGGTTTATATAGGCTGGCTGTTGGAGTTACTGTTGTGTTAAAAAGGTTATGTTTTAAATTTTCCTAGGATTTTTTTTCTTTCTCAAACTCAGTGTTTGAAACAGGAGCTTTCTCACTCATGCCAGTGAGAGGACTGCTGACTCGTCTTTGTGCCTTTGAAGTGCCTTTTTTCCCTCATGTAACTCGCCGTGACTACGTAGTAGGGAGGAAATACCTGCCTCGCTGTGCGCTTTCTCCAGATCACGTTTGCTCCAAGGCCTCACGAGAAGCTGAGCACGCAGACGAGTGTCCACTAGGGTGTCATTGGTCTTGTTTTTAATCACAGCAAGTGGTGGGTATTCGAGCTAGATTTCTTTTCTTTAAGGAGGCTTGGAGGTTGGAACCTGTTCTTTATGTCTTGCTTCTCCCAATTTATCCAGCTGTGACGCAGAACTCAGGGAGGGGGTAGCGGACTGTGACACCCCTAGAGATGCATGGTCACCACCTCCTTTCCCCAACCGGCAGGTAAGACAGTGGTTTTCTGTCCACTGAATGAAGGGTGTCTGGGATCAGGTGCTGACTTCTGCTTTCGGACAGATGAGGAAGCCGAGGTCCAGAGAAGTGCGGTGGCTGCCCAGCCCCTCCCCGTCAGCGGCAGAGCTGCAGATCACAGGGCGGCTGCCGCCCAGCCCACAGCGTCCTGTCTTTCTCCAAAGCAGTAGAAATCCAGGTCTTTTGTCTGTTAGTCATTATGACAGGGTAACCATGGAAACAGCCTTGCTGGAATCTTCCAAATAAACAGTTATTTCTGCTTTTAACTGAAGGGACGTGCAAGAGCAGAGCAATTTCTTAGAAGAGATGGTGAAGACAGCCGCTCCCCCTGGTGGGCCCCCACTACGTGCCGGCCTGGGGCTGGGGGAAGCGGTAGCCGCAGTTAACACTGGTCAAGTGTTCGCATCACGCCAGGTACTGCTCTGAGTTTCCTTCTCATAAATCCTCCGAGCGGCCCTAGGATGGAGCCTAGGATGGAGGTACTTGATTATTCATTTTGCAGGTGAGGAAACTGAGTGTGTTGGTTTCCTGTGGTTGCTGTACAATTTCCACAAACTTGGGGACTTAAACAACACAAATATATTTGTTTACAATTCTAGCGGTCAGAGGTCTAAAATTCAGGTGTCGCCAGGGCTTCACTCGTTGTGTTTCCTTGTCTTTTCTGGCTTCTTAGAGGCCACCTACAGTCCTCAGCTCGTGGCCCCTTCCGTCTTCAAAATGCATCACTCCAACCCCTGCTTCCATCATCCCATCTCTTCTTCTGCCTTTGACCTCCCTACGTCCGTCCTGTGATAACAGTGGGCCCATCCAGAGAATCCAGGGTAACCTCTGCAGCTCGAGACTCTTACCTTACTCACTTCACATGTGCAAAGTCTTTTGTCATGTAAGGTACCCTATGTACAGGCTCCAGGAATTAGGATGTGGACATCTTTGGGGACCTGGCTTATCATATGGAAGCACAGAGAAGTGAGGACACTTCCTCAAGGTCACACAGCTAAGTAGAGCCAAGATAGAGGCTCCAATAATCTCATGCCTATCAGCCTGTGCTTTCTGACTTAATCTTCACAGAAGCCTCAAGAACTAAGAACTCTTGGGGGGATTGTGGGTGAGCCAAGTTCATTTAAAGGAACTGGGTGGGATAGACTCCCAGGACTCACCCCTGGTAATGGATCTGGGGTAGAAAGACCAGACCCCGTCCCCCTCTGTTGCGGAGGCTCCAGATCTCTGGGGGCAGAGTCAGGCTAAAGTCCGCAGCAGAGGGCACAGCCGGTGCAAAGGCCCTGCAGCTGGATCCTGAGGCCGGTGCAGCAGGAGAGCGTCGGGGAAGGTGGGAGGTGAGGTCAGATGTGCATGGAGAGAAGAGGGTCCGAATCAGGAGGGCTTTACCAACCGGGGCCGGGGCTCTGGGTTTACCACCGGGGGCTTTGACCAGGCTGTGTTTTAACAGGACCCTTCAGCCCACTGAGTGGCGAATAATCTGTGGGGCGAGGGTGGATGTGGGGGCCAGCTGGGAGATCACCGTAACCCCGGTGAAGGGGGCTGATGCCCAGAGCAGGGTGGGCGTGGTCAGTGAAGGGAGTGAAGCCGGGCAT